AATGTGACACAGAAGGTGGAAAAACTCTTCTTGTTACGGCTGCAAAACTTTAGAACTCTCTACCTATTAGTTTAAGATCTAGCACCAGTATTAATGCCTTCAAACAAACTTATTATAAGGAAGGTTATGCTGCCTTAGATAGCTTTCCCATTTCATAAATGTTTTGCCCTTTCAATATTACATTTACTGTCTTTACCCTTTTTGATATTGTTTTGTAAATTAGTTTTATCTATTTTAGGGGAGGGCCAGAAGTTTACCAGTTGTCAACTGTAATGTGTCACCCTCAGTATATAAAGTTGTTTATTTATTTATTTATTTATTTATTTACTGAGTTTACTGGAACCTGTAGAGACAGCAGAAAGATCCTCCATTGTGGACGGCCTTTGAAAGCCACCTTCTTTCTGGAGAATTCGGGCTTGAATTCTTAACTGATGGATAATGGAGACCCCTTTGAAATCAGGAGCATGCTCTCTGTGCACAAATTTGATTTGGTAGAGAAGTGAGCTAATGTGATTTGAAACTGTGGCAGAGCTACAATTTCATTCTTCCTGCGAGGAAACAGAACAGGTTAATTGAGGATTGGAACAGCCAAAAATCAATAAGTAAATAAATAGATGTAAAGGAAAGGAATGGACATGTAGCAGAAATTCATCGGAGGCAAGAGTCTTGGTTAAAATTTTCAAGCTTGAAAGAAAACCTTTCACCAACCAAGCAATAAATCAGTGATATTAGAATTTTCCAATTTGTTGGGATTTCTTTTTTTCAGAGAAAGTATGGAGTAATACTACTAATAATAAAAACAACTGTTATTGACTTCTTAACATATAGAGTCAACTTATGAGCAGCTAGCCATTTATAATTACTCTTTAATTCGATAAAGACATCGTTCAAAACAGAATTAAGGTTATTAGCATGAAGCAAGTTTCAACAGCAGATTGGTAAAAAGATAACACATTGCTGACCATACTATTATTCTTTCTTTGATAAGTTTTGGACCAGATTTGCTTGTAAATGGCCACAACAATATTTTAACCATCACTGTCAGCAATGGGGTTTACCCCTGTGAAAAAACCTGTGAAGCTTTTGTTTGGTTTTGTTATCTTGTGGTAGGATTAGGTTGTTGTTTGATGTTTTCTGCTCTTTTGTTTTCCTTTGTGTTCCATTCTTTGTGAGTTTCACAGGTTTTTACACCGAGGGTGAGTCCAGCAATGTATACACTAGCTATCTGTGAGTAATCAACACAAGTTGGCACTCATCATAATGTTAAAAGTCCATTAATTTATGGTGAGAAGTTACTTTAAAACAATACCTCAGATGCAAAAGATATGGTTCACAATTGTAGCGTAATTTATCTGTGATGTTTACATGCATAGCGAAAATCCTCCAATATTTGCCATTTCCAGCAGTTTCTTTACACACGACTATTACAGGCTCAGGTTTTTCTACCAAACTAATTGATGTGGTTTTCAGTCCGCGGCCAGAGTTCACTTAGGCGTTTCCAGAAAGGTGTCAAAACTTAATACGAAAGCCTGTAAAGAATTTCTCTCACCCTCAAAAATTCAACGTAACCTTCAATCAAGTGAATTTTCAAAAGCAATGTGGTAAAAGCTCTACATCACAGGCTAAAGTAGTTCTAAGGTAACCCAGAAAGCCTGCAAAGAAGATAAAAAAGGAGGGGTTGTATGTTAAATAGATATCTAGCCTCAACCAAATATCAGTTATCATCACTTAGACACAAACATGAAAATTAAGGCCAAAATTAAAAAAGAAACAAAGATAGTTACAAAGCATTCTCTCTTGGGCCTTCTCGTAAGTGGAAAGGGTCACCGGTGCTTTCTCTCTTTCAAAGTTGACTTTCTGGGTAAAGAATCTCTTCACGGAGGCCAAAAACTTTCTGACTGCCTCAGGTAGCTCACTGAATTTGATTGAATACGGGGTTTTGTGCTTGTTCCCTATCTGTGCTAAATTCAGGGTAGATTCCGTGTGAATTTCACCCTCAGTGACGTTGTCATTTTCGGCCCCTCTCTGCGCTAAATTCAGGGTAGATTCTGCATGACTTTTACCTAAGAGATGTCATCTTCATTTTCGGATCAGGTTAAGCTCACATTGGTCGTTTCTTGTTCCTTTGAAGTGTCATTGTCAATGAGTGCTTCTACCAGGGTTTCCTGCTTGAGCGGGACAGGTGATAGCGGGCAATTGTCCTCAATTTCAGTTACATGTACTGGCGAGTTATCTGGAGCAATAGAGAGCAAGGTATTTGGTGTTCCATTGCAGAAAAGGTGATTACAATGAAAAAAAACTACCCCAGCAGTTGGTCTGTTGGCGTCCTCGATGATGTGGAAAAAATGATTGAATGGTGCAAGAACGATGCTTTGCGAGCTACGAGAATTTTCACAGGTATAAAATAGGCCCTTTGTACGATCCGGTCACATGGTACAGAATTAATTACGCTGGGATGCAAGTTACTCAGTGGGACTTTCAAAACAAAGGAAATTCGGGTAGACTGGTGCAAGTTCCTTTATCTTGGAAATTCCACTGTGTAACTTGTGTAATTAATTCTCTACCCTGTGACCGGATCGTGCAAAGGGCCTCACTTCCTGTGATCCTACACACCCACTGCCTCACAGTCTATTTATTCATTATTGCATAACCTCATAACTTGATGTAAATTACTCTGCTCGATCCTCTATGAAGGTTACTTTTACATAATTTTCTTGGATCTGCTAGTTTATCAACTATTTAAATTGGAATTAAAATAAAGTTTACTTATGTGTGTATGCATTGTTTCCCAAATATAGAAATGAGATCAAAATTAACACTCAAACAGTAGTGACAAACATCAGATATAAACACAACGCTTGAAGTTATCTTTTACTTGACATTTCGTATGGTTCTGCATACATCTTCAGAAGTGACAGTTAATACAAAATTGGGGTTTGAATATACAAGAACCTAACTTATTACTGCGTCTTTCAATAGCATGCGGACTCTAACATTCAGAGCTCAACCAAAAAATGCGTTTTTTGCTACCACCAATCAAATGTTTGGTGGCGCCTCCCGGCTTCTGACTACTGCCAAGCACTGTTCCGTTGTCTGAACTGTGCTCAGGGATTTGATTGCTGTAAGCTCGGCAGTGATTGGAAGCTGGGAGGCACCACCGAACATTTCATTGATAGTAGTGAAAAACGCATTTGTCGGTTGAGCTTTGAATTGTAGAGTCCGCATGTTATTGAAAGGCACAGTGACTATTAACATGTACTGTAGTTTAGTTAGTACCTTTAAGGAAAGACATACAATGTATGTCTAACTGAGTAAACTCTTAGCTATGCCTGGTGGTGGGTAGTATTTTCAATTTCAGGGAAACTTGTGTTAGACTATGAGAAGTTTGTTTTTCGGTCCATCATGTGGGTGAAAATATAATGTAAATCAGCAAAGAGAAAATGATTAAGCTGTGTGCCTCACTTGTGGAGTTCTGCACGGCATTTAATTTTTTTGTCTTTTACTTTTATTGGCACTATAAATTTTGCCAAAAAAGAGGAACTGCTGGTAGTCTAGAGTTGTTATAGTATGGGGAACATTTTAAAGGAGTCTTCTGTATTTTAGAGTTGTTTTGTTTCTGTTCCTGGTTGAGTTGGCTATGCAGTTACTGTACATTTGTGTTTGCAATGCATTGCAATTGACAGTAAGTTTGGATAGGTAAGAAATGAAGTACAGTGTTTCTTTCTGGTGTTCTTTTGTTATGTTTACGAAATAGAACACAGAAAGGTTTAATTAATGGTAGTTGAACTGAGTGGAGTGCAATTTGGTCTGAAATCATACGCGTGAACAGAACAAAGTTGCACGACACGAAGTTCAATTGCCACTTTATTAGATCCATTTTGAAATCGGACAATTTTATCGCCTTAAATTCTAGATGTTTGTTGTATTGTTCCAGTGGCCGGTTTGTTAAGAAAGCGGAACCGGAAACGCCTTTGCATCTCATTTAGTATACAAAACAATGTCATGTGACAAAAACTCATTCAAGCATGACAAAGAAACAAGCAGTTCTGAAGTCAGAATGAAAATAGTCTACTTCAGGTGCAAAAGTTCAGTTCTCGTCGCCTGAATCAATTATGGAAGGCCTTCCTTTCTTCTGTGGTTGAGACAGACTTTTCATTGTCTTTGGAGAAGGAATTTGAAGGTGCATATCCTGTGTAATTCTGTGATCGATTTGTTTTGAGTTGTGAAACTCCCTCGAGTGCACAATGCCCAGTGGATGGTACATTTTTTCTTTTAAATACCGTTCAATGGCATGATTTTAAGGGATTCCAGCTCGTTATCATTTCCATTTCTTTTTGTGACCTTGGTGCAGGACTCAATACTCAAGAACTTGTCAAGTTCTTGAGGTGCCTTTTGTCTTAACTTTTAAGATATTTCCAAGATGGTGGGACTGGCACCAGTTTTGTAAGACATTCGTTCATTCACTATTTTGTAGAGTGGCGTATTTTGACTATGTTTCTTCACAATGACAGAGTTGAACTCTTTTGTTGCTTCGTTTGAAACTACCAGAAACCTGGAAACCTCTACCTTCTTGAGATGGCTCTGAATTTGTTGTTGTGTGGTTTTTGTTTGTTTATGTTTTACTGGACTCGGTATCATGGATCTTGAGCAGATGTTGAAGAAAAATCGTCAAAATATTCGTAAAAATGGACCTGAAAGCTAGAAACTTCCATTAAAGTAGGTCATAAGCCTGAAGGAGCTCATAATCGTCATTCAGAAACTCTAATTAATTAAATTTGTCAATTTTTTTGGAAAAAACTACTATAACGACAGTTTTGGGAATAGTAGTTGCAAAATTCTCCACACAATGGCTTTTCGTCTTTCATTTTCCTGAAATTTTATTGATTACTTCAAACTGATCTTGAAATCTGATTGGTTGTTTTGTTTTACTGTCCCATTCTCATTGGCTGAGAAAAAGATGCGATTTAGAGGAAAAAATAGTGCGATTAGTGAATAAATTGTGCCACTGAGAGCCAATCAGATTGCAAGGATAGCCAGTGATTTCAAAATGGATTTAATAAAGGAAAGTTATTCTTATGGCATTGTGATCTGAATAGTATACACTTATCACTGAGCTATGAATATTAGCGTTAAGTGGCTCATGAAGTGGAGATATCAGAAGAATCCAACTTGGTACAAAGTGCATATGCTTCTGAAAAAAGCCATAACCAAGAATGCCAGTGTCCTCATTGTCCATATTTAGGTACACATTTGGCATGCCACATAGAGGTGAAGCATGGTGAAGATCTATCTCAAAAAGATATTGCTTTGATCGTTGCTCACGCTGACTGGCAAAGATGGTAAAACCTTCAATCCGAACTCTTCCTGGTTACCACCATGTTGCAGCTGTCAATGCCACATTGGCATCGACAGCTGCAACATGGTGGTAACCAGGAAGAGACAGCATATTCGTCAACACCACAAGATTGTAGATAAACAAGCTGCAAAAGAGGCTGCCAAAACTTTTAGCAAGTTGGCTTCCACCAATACCAAGCGACCTGCACCATCTAAAGTGGTGTGTGGCCAACCTAAATTCAAGAAGACAAGAGTACTTCCTAAAAAACCATCAAGCTGCAACCCCCCATTCGCTCGCCCGCTAAGTTCAAGAAGAGAATCATTCGCCAACCAACAAAAGAGAAGAGACTGAAGTTAGAAGAGTCTTCCAGTAAGAGTCCAGTGATCTTCAGAGAGTAGTTTCAAAGTGAGCGATGACTCCGACGAAGAACAACAGCAAGTTGATCCTGGGCATTTAGACATAGAGGCAGACCTCGATGAGATCTCCGACTATGCAGATACTGATGAGGAAGAACTGGATCCCTCAGACAACATAAAGTGGTGAGACTATTAGGCCCCTGCAGGTGCTCCCCTAACTTGAGTGCCAAGAGAGAAAATGTCATGGGTCAACCTTCAGGGAATTTTCAAGTAAGCTTCCAGAAAAGTATGGGTGTGATATTTAATATTGCATTGGTTTAAATGTTGGCTTGAATGCAACAGAAAATTCAATTACCTCGAGGAAGATAGCCTTGCCTAAACAATAAGCCTCGGCTTGATTTCCGTCCTTTAAAAAAGAAGATATCATAAATTTAATACAAAAGATTTTGTGAAGTAAGTGCAATTGAACCATTTAAACCCTGCCATCTGAGTAGCCATAGTTATTTTACTTGACATTGCAGCATCAGAATTTTAATACTGATTTACATACATTATTCAATTGATATAACAAATTCACACCCACCTCCTCGTGATGCCGATGGTCTAGGTGGCCGATCCTGTAGAGAAAAAACAAAACTTTGTTTTCTAAAAAAAATTATTGTATATAAATAAAGAAATCAGAGGAATAAGAGCAGTAAGGGATTTAGTTTATTTGTTCAAGTTTACTGTCTACAGTTAGGTTAATTCCACACAAAGGTGTCATGATTACTTGTGCCTATATTTTTTTATAGAAACATCTCTTCATTTGCACTTATTTGTTTCTTAAACATTCAAGCATTCAAGCAAGATGTATTAGGTCTGTGTTGAACACTATGTAAGGACATTTTTCAGCAAGACACCTGTGAGGTTATTTGGTAAAGTTATAAAAAATATATTTAAATGTGAATATGAAAGAGTACCTCATGATCACTAGGGCTGCTCTCTATTAAGCGCAGGTACAGTGTACCCTGGCCACACACTTTCTTCCATTCCCTGGCAGAAAACCCTGAAGATGGCCGGACAGCAGGGATCAACACATTTCTCGAGCTTTTATCAGTCGCGAGAATTACAAAGCAGTACTCTCCAGGCAAAAGGCACAGTGATATTACCCATGATTAAAAGCATTTCAATTTATTTTGTACTGCAGACCAATACTACAGAGCTGAAAAAAAATTGCTGAAAACAAGGTGATTGTTTTAAATAGTTTCCATAGAATTTGTCCATTGGAGCCCGTCTTTAATTGGATTCTGATCTTCTTGTCTTGGCTGGACTAATCTTATTTTTAAAACCAATATACATACTGCCAGGTTACCACAGTTATCATCAAATGTTATCAATGTGGCTGATGCATTTTTCTGTTATATGAAACTGTTGTTAGAAAACATTAATAGGTTCAGAATTAATAAAACCTGTTTTGTACAGTGTAGGAAAGGGAGGGCACCATTCAGGGCTCTCAGTGCTCCTGCTTCTTGTGTTCTCCTACCCAAAGATATCTGGACAATCCTGCCAGTGTTAAGAAGATCTTGCCTGACAGTACCCCTGGGAATTGAATCATCACTGGGATCCAGTAGCACCACATTGAAATTGTAAACCTGCCCCTTTGGGTTGCTCCCAGTGCTTAAAGCTAGGACAGCTGATTCATTTGATTGTCCCTGAGCTGAAATTGGAATACCCTGAAAATTTTGCCTTACCAAACCAGCCAAATTTCTGGTAAAGGAAAGAACCTGTCCAAAACAAAATCAACTCATGACAAGAGATCTCTATAAAACCACATTAAGTATTGACTTTGTTCTTAAAATGAATGAAATTAACAAAGAAATGATAATTAATTAAACAATGACTCAATTTAAAAACATTAAAATTGCTAAGTCATACACTATTTTATCACCACTATACAATTAAGCAATACAAATTAAGCAGTACAATTTTTCTATCAAGTTATGGAAGCATGAGTGAACGTTTGGGAGAACTAGAAATGTTGTTGGAACAGGAGCCATTAGCCGAGTGTTTCTAACATTTTTCAAGTTCTTCAAAATTTTCATGAGTGGTTCTATAAATCAATGGAATCATGGAGAACATGTTTTCTATTTCATTTAGAAAGTACCAAGACTTAAAAAAAGAAAACAACTTGCTCATGGCTGTCATTAAGTTTTCATTCAACTGTAGCCTTGATCTCCACACCTGTCACAAATTTGTTACTTTATGGATGAATCGAACCTACAACAGCAAAGTTCAACCATAACATCAAGGACCCATCCAACATGTTCAGCCGTAACCGGTGCTACGGGGTACAGCCCTTATTGATAACTCTGTTGCTTACTTTGATGTTCAAAATGAAAATTCTCTTTGCTTGGGCCATCATTACTTCAACACCTCATGCTAATACATATTTCTATTAAACAATTAGATAATGAGGTCAAGATTTCTATCAAGAAAGTGAGCATGAATAATAATTTTTGGTACTACTAAGGTTGAAAATGATTTTGGAGACAGTGGATGGTACAATTAACTAAACTACCTGAGTTGCCAAAACATCCGCTTTGCAAACTGGCACAACAACTTATCATGTGATCAATTTCAAGAGTTAATTGTACATGCAAAAGAGCACCTTGCAGATTGGAGTTAGGGTTAGGATTAGACAACCCAACAGTATGGGTTGGGATGGATGGATAACTAGACCCCTACTTTGCCACCCTGATCGTGTTAGCCATAAACAAGTGCGTTGCAGTTGCAAATTACATTTAGGAAACGGTCATTGACACCACTTCACTTTAAATTAAATGCTTATTGACAATTAATTAAATTACATGTCAACAACCCGGTCACTTTCCTCCTCTTCCTGTCTCTCTTCATCATCATCAGAATCTTCCTGTGAATCAAACAATAATTGGCTGAACTTCATTTAATGGAACTACTACTAAATGAACTACATTTGACTTCATATCAATTGTCTTATTGTCTTGTGAAGAAGTTCACTGTTTGTTCCCTGTAAACTGACTGCAATTTATTTTGTCAAATCATGCAGTTATCCTTGTGGATGGTTCTTCTAATTAGGCAATCACGGTTGTTAAGACAAACCTTGTTAAATTACATTGTACATTTTATATACATGCTGATGGAATTCAAGATCTGACTCAATTGAGTTGTGAACCTTTCCAATAAACCTGCACATCCATGACAGTCAATATCTGATTGAACAGAGAACAATAAAACTTTATATTCCAAATTGTTAACAACAACATAGTTCTGAATGCTGCTGCTAAAATAAAAATAGACATTGTTTGACCAAACAAATTCCTTTCTCATGCATATGTAAAATTAGCTGAATGATCAACATATTTTTGTATACTTACGGGGATTCCTGGACTGGGTGTTTCAGTAAGGTAGCCGTGTAGGCTCTCAAAGACTTCCCAAACTCCCCCAGATCCCTGCATGGCAAGAAATTATTTTTCACACAATTTAAGACTAACAGGTATGCATGCAGCACGTATATATTGTCAGCTCTTAAAAGCAAATATATGTACGTTGACTGAGACTACTTCAATTTTATATCAAACCATAAAACATTTTGAAACATGCAAACATGGCTTGACGATATTGTGAACCCTCTAGCAATTAGCAATACGTATTAAATTGGGATTAAATAAATAAGCTTAAATTTTAAATAAATAACTCAAAATTTAAGGTCACTCGGAACCTTATGTACAAAACTTTTTTGAAACTTTGCCAAAAGTTGCATCATTAAAAATTTAATTTAATTTAACTTCTTAAAATTTAATAGAAAACAAAAATTCACCATGATGTTTTTGAATTATAAGCCTCTAAAGCTGTAGTTAATGGCATTTTTAGCAGGTCATACTGTTGCTATGGTAACCTGTTGTGTCCCGAAAATGATAACAATGTGTTCACCAATGATCATGCATTTTTTAATAACATGATTGTAACTTCAAGTGATAAAGAGTAGTTGTAAATGACCCATCGCAATCTAAGTGCTAGAAACTGTTTTGAGCCACCTTAAGCTATGCAAATAAAACTGATTACAATTCCGATCATATGAAATTATATCCAAAATTATGTGCAAGGCGAGGTTAGTTAGGGAAAAAGTGCTATTATTTTTGCTGATTGGTTCGGTCAAGTTAAGCGTTCTTATCTGACTAGACTATTGCTCAGCTAACAAAATATGGGGTTCAAGATTGGGTAGTAGTTGGACCAAACAACAACATCTTTAGTTCACTGACCGATAGAAGAGAAGTTAATCAATCGATACCAACCTCATTGAGTGATGGGGGAATCAATTCCTCCCGATGGCCATCCTAATCACTGAACTCTTCCCAGCTGTAGACAGAGTCCCTGTCATCGTGATCTCTCGCGTGCAAAGAGTTTGCTTTAATTAATCACTAACACTTTGAACTTCCTACCGGAGCGATAAAACGACAGGCAACTTTATTTCGCAATGTGAGGAATGTAGGTTTAAAAATTGTATAAGAATTAAACGTATTTGGTCAACGCAGCTAAACTTCACAGCAATGATACGTGAATTGAAGGTCAAATGCACGAAAACATGCGGAAGTTCAGATCAATTCACAAATTCTCGTTAGCTTTGATTTTGATAGCACGAGTTGACATGAAGTCAAATCAACAACCATTACTTTAGTCTCAAAACAATCTTTTAGCTTGGAGAGGCTAGTGTCACCAGCCAAACCCAATTTCTGCATAATCTTACAAAAGGATCAAGTTCCCCTTGCATCAAACATTCTTGTCAATCCGACGTTTTGCCCTTTTAGTCAATAGAAGCTTGGACACCAAATTAGAAATAGAAACTTGTGCAACTCCAGTGTGGTGCGTTAAACTGTGAAATGAGTTTGTGATTGCTGAATCACGTCTTGAAATTATGACTGATGTAAAAGGCACAGACAGCAAAAGAATGCCTTTGTCATTTACAATTATTTACCAGCCGGCCAGACAAGTCTGCAAAAGTTGCTAGTGCAATAACGCATGGCTCAGGAAGGGGAAATTTCAGACATACCTCTGCATTGCTGATGCTAAGTTGTGGACTTGCTGGGGAACTCATTTCTAATTAGCTTTCAGGCAAACTAACAAGTAGCGTGAAAAAGCGTTTTCTTTTAGTGGTCCTAAGTGGTCCTCGATGTATCGGTAAAGTGATGCTAAAGGACAAATTGCCTCGTGGCACACGCACACGTTTATAACTGCAATACCTGTCATTCCAAATGATCTGTCAAGATCCAGGGCCTGGGGAATATCAGCAAAACAAATAGTTCTCTATTCGAATTGATCTGGCGGAAATAGAAAAGATCTTTTGGACCTCTCCGATTCGTCATTCAATTACGGGTGTCCGCCCACACCAGTTGACAGATTTAACAGTGTTGCTTGTTTCATGGCTACAAAGAGCTTTGTAAATTTGTTGGCTCTTTTTACAGGATCCCCCATCTTGTTGTAGGCTCAATTTCTGCCGCTTTCTCGTGTCTGGTATACGTGGATCACGTGCTTCTTTACCGAACAGCGGCTTGTAATCGAGCCTAATCTCGTTAATCGTTGCTCATAAATTTGTGTTCTCATTAGCCTGTTTAGAGGCACGGTCAGTGGGGTCGATCGAAGATTAAAGCAGGTGGGTGATGAGCAGGGACTGGTAGAGTTTACAGCCCACATGTTGAATAATTTCAGCCTACATTCCGTTCAGATGCAGAGTTGCTCAGAGACCCTCCATTTTAAGTTTTCCCCTTCACCCCAGAGGTCTCTAGAAGATACGGGTAGTCGGTTGTACCTCATTTAATATTATGTAAATTAGAGAACGAAGCGAAGAGATCACAAAAAGTCGATATCGTCTATTTTTTAGGGACACTTTTTTGGTGTTTCTCATGGCTCATTCCATCATTCCAAGGGTTTACAGTTAAAATGTTCACTGAAAACGAACAACGAACTCAACTAAACTTGAATTGTTCAGTTACCAGATCAATATCACAACAATAACTTTGCCACGAAATGTTATCGATTTGCAAATTGGGCGGAACCATCAATCGATCAGGTTTCAAAGGTGGCAAATCTGCAGACTATTTTCTCCGTGCCTGCAACCTCGCTTCCCTGCTCCATCTCATTCACTTGAAACTTAAACTTCTCGCAGGCAGTCTACCTTCTCAATGAGGAAGTTCCATGGATTTAGCTGTCAAGAGGAGCGGAGAGTCTTACTGTTTTTTGATCCCGGTTAAAAAATAATAATAACATAAGTAGACACACAAATCTCCTAAAAGCAGCCTCGTTCTTAGGGTCTTTCTTCTTCCTGCCCCTCTCTTGCTCCAGGGGGTGTGAAAAAGAGAAACCCTGGGTAGGAGATTGATCGACAAGTTGTTCAAAAACGTCTCCAGACGTTTTTTACTATCCTTCTCATTAGGCCCCTCATTAGCTAATCACCCATCGCGCTCCACTCGCTTACGTTGGTTGACCCGCTAGGAAAAGCCATGCTATCGAATATAGATCTTGTTTGAACTTTATAGGCAATATTTATATACTAGACTGAAAGGTATATCAAATTTACGTAACAGGCACAGAACATGAAATTTTGCAGTGATAGTTATGCTTTCTGGACAAGCCGGAACTAGTCACAAATCGCCAATAGGAAAATNGCAATTGAACCATTTAAACCCTGCCATCTGAGTAGCCATAGTTATTTTACTTGACATTGCAGCATCAGAATTTTAATACTGATTTACATACATTATTCAATTGATATAACAAATTCACACCCACCTCCTCGTGATGCCGATGGTCTAGGTGGCCGATCCTGTAGAGAAAAAACAAAACTTTGTTTTCTAAAAAAAATTATTGTATATAAATAAAGAAATCAGAGGAATAAGAGCAGTAAGGGATTTAGTTTATTTGTTCAAGTTTACTGTCTACAGTTAGGTTAATTCCACACAAAGGTGTCATGATTACTTGTGCCTATATTTTTTTATAGAAACATCTCTTCATTTGCACTTATTTGTTTCTTAAACATTCAAGCATTCAAGCAAGATGTATTAGGTCTGTGTTGAACACTATGTAAGGACATTTTTCAGCAAGACACCTGTGAGGTTATTTGGTAAAGTTATAAAAAATATATTTAAATGTGAATATGAAAGAGTACCTCATGATCACTAGGGCTGCTCTCTATTAAGCGCAGGTACAGTGTACCCTGGCCACACACTTTCTTCCATTCCCTGGCAGAAAACCCTGAAGATGGCCGGACAGCAGGGATCAACACATTTCTTGAGCTTTTATCAGTCGCGAGAATTACAAAGCAGTACTCTCCAGGCAAAAGGCACAGTGATATTACCCATGATTAAAAGCATTTCAATTTATTTTGTACTGCAGACCAATACTACAGAGCTGAAAAAAAATTGCTGAAAACAAGGTGATTGTTTTAAATAGTTTCCATAGAATTTGTCCATTGGAGCCCGTCTTTAATTGGATTCTGATCTTCTTGTCTTGGCTGGACTAATCTTATTTTTAAAACCAATATACATACTGCCAGGTTACCACAGTTATCATCAAATGTTATCAATGTGGCTGATGCATTTTTCTGTTATATGAAACTGTTGTTAGAAAACATTAATAGGTTCAGAATTAATAAAACCTGTTTTGTACAGTGTAGGAAAGGGAGGGCACCATTCAGGGCTCTCAGTGCTCCTGCTTCTTGTGTTCTCCTACCCAAAGATATCTGGACAATCCTGCCAGTGTTAAGAAGATCTTGCCTGACAGTACCCCTGGGAATTGAATCATCACTGGGATCCAGTAGCACCACATTGAAATTGTAAACCTGCCCCTTTGGGTTGCTCCCAGTGCTTAAAGCTAGGACAGCTGATTCATTTGATTGTCCCTGAGCTGAAATTGGAATACCCTGAAAATTTTGCCTTACCAAACCAGCCAAATTTCTGGTAAAGGAAAGAACCTGTCCAAAACAAAATCAACTCATGACAAGAGATCTCTATAAAACCACATTAAGTATTGACTTTGTTCTTAAAATGAATGAAATTAACAAAGAAATGATAATTAATTAAACAATGACTCAATTTAAAAACATTAAAATTGCTAAGTCATACACTATTTTATCACCACTATACAATTAAGCAATACAAATTAAGCAGTACAATTTTTCTATCAAGTTATGGAAGCATGAGTGAACGTTTGGGAGAACTAGAAATGTTGTTGGAACAGGAGCCATTAGCCGAGTGTTTCTAACATTTTTCAAGTTCTTCAAAATTTTCATGAGTGGTTCTATAAATCAATGGAATCATGGAGAACATGTTTTCTATTTCATTTAGAAAGTACCAAGACTTAAAAAAAGAAAACAACTTGCTCATGGCTGTCATTAAGTTTTCATTCAACTGTAGCCTTGATCTCCACACCTGTCACAAATTTGTTACTTTATGGATGAATCGAACCTACAACAGCAAAGTTCAACCATAACATCAAGGACCCATCCAACATGTTCAGCCGTAACCGGTGCTACGGGGTACAGCCCTTATTGATAACTCTGTTGCTTACTTTGATGTTCAAAATGAAAATTCTCTTTGCTTGGGCCATCATTACTTCAACACCTCATGCTAATACATATTTCTATTAAACAATTAGATAATGAGGTCAAGATTTCTATCAAGAAAGTGAGCATGAATAATAATTTTTGGTACTACTAAGGTTGAAAATGATTTTGGAGACAGTGGATGGTACAATTAACTAAACTACCTGAGTTGCCAAAACATCCGCTTTGCAAACTGGCACAACAACTTATCATGTGATCAATTTCAAGAGTTAATTGTACATGCAAAAGAGCACCTTGCAGATTGGAGTTAGGGTTAGGATTAGACAACCCAACAGTATGGGTTGGGATGGATGGATAACTAGACCCCTACTTTGCCACCCTGATCGTGTTAGCCATAAACAAGTGCGTTGCAGTTGCAAATTACATTTAGGAAACGGTCATTGACACCACTTCACTTTAAATTAAATGCTTATTGACAATTAATTAAATTACATGTCAACAACCCGGTCACTTTCCTCCTCTTCCTGTCTCTCTTCATCATCATCAGAATCTTCCTGTGAATCAAACAATAATTGGCTGAACTTCATTTAATGGAACTACTACTAAATGAACTACATTTGACTTCATATCAATTGTCTTATTGTCTTGTGAAGAAGTTCACTGTTTGTTCCCTGTAAACTGACTGCAATTTATTTTGTCAAATCATGCAGTTATCCTTGTGGATGGTTCTTCTAATTAGGCAATCACGGTTGTTAAGACAAACCTTGTTAAATTACATTGTACATTTTATATACATGCTGATGGAATTCAAGATCTGACTCAATTGAGTTGTGAACCTTTCCAATAAACCTGCACATCCATGACAGTCAATATCTGATTGAACAGAGAACAATAAAACTTTATATTCCAAATTGTTAACAACAACATAGTTCTGAATGCTGCTGCTAAAATAAAAATAGACATTGTTTGACCAAACAAATTCCTTTCTCATGCATATGTAAAATTAGCTGAATGATCAACATATTTTTGTATACTTACGGGGATTCCTGGACTGGGTGTTTCAGTAAGGTAGCCGTGTAGGCTCTCAAAGACTTCCCAAACTCCCCCAGATCCCTGCATGGCAAGAAATTATTTTTCACACAATTTAAGACTAACAGGTATGCATGCAGCACGTATATATTGTCAGCTCTTAAAAGCAAATATATGTACGTTGACTGAGACTACTTCAATTTTATATCAAACCATAAAACATTTTGAAACATGCAAACATGGCTTGACGATATTGTGAACCCTCTAGCAATTAGCAATACGTATTAAATTGGGATTAAATAAATAAGCTTAAATTTTAAATAAATAACTCAAAATTTAAGGTCACTCGGAACCTTATGTACAAAACTTTTTTGAAACTTTGCCAAAAGTTGCATCATTAAAAATTTAATTTAATTTAACTTCTTAAAATTTAATAGAAAACAAAAATTCACCATGATGTTTTTGAATTATAAGCCTCTAAAGCTGTAGTTAATGGCATTTTTAGCAGGTCATACTGTTGCTATGGTAACCTGTTGTGTCCCGAAAATGATAACAATGTGTTCACCAATGATCATGCATTTTTTAATAACATGATTGTAACTTCAAGTGATAAAGAGTAGTTGTAAATGACCCATCGCAATCTAAGTGCTAGAAACTGTTTTGAGCCACCTTAAGCTATGCAAATAAAACTGATTACAATTCCGATCATATGAAATTATATCCAAAATTATGTGCAAGGCGAGGTTAGTTAGGGAAAAAGTGCTATTATTTTTGCTGATTGGTTCGGTCAAGTTAAGCGTTCTTATCTGACTAGACTATTGCTCAGCTAACAAAATATGGGGTTCAAGATTGGGTAGTAGTTGGACCAAACAACAACATCTTTAGTTCACTGACCGATAGAAGAGAAGTTAATCAATCGATACCAACCTCATTGAGTGATGGGGGAATCAATTCCTCCCGATGGCCATCCTAATCACTGAACTCTTCCCAGCTGTAGACAGAGTCCCTGTCATCGTGATCTCTCGCGTGCAAAGAGTTTGCTTTAATTAATCACTAACACTTTGAACTTCCTACCGGAGCGATAAAACGACAGGCAACTTTATTTCGCAATGTGAGGAATGTAGGTTTAAAAATTGTATAAGAATTAAACGTATTTGGTCAACGCAGCTAAACTTCACAGCAATGATACGTGAATTGAAGGTCAAATGCACGAAAACATGCGGAAGTTCAGATCAATTCACAAATTCTCGTTAGCTTTGATTTTGATAGCACGAGTTGACATGAAGTCAAATCAACAACCATTACTTTAGTCTCAAAACAATCTTTTAGCTTGGAGAGGCTAGTGTCACCAGCCAAACCCAATTTCTGCATAATCTTACAAAAGGATCAAGTTCCCCTTGCATCAAACATTCTTGTCAATCCGACGTTTTGCCCTTTTAGTCAATAGAAGCTTGGACACCAAATTAGAAATAGAAACTTGTGCAACTCCAGTGTGGTGCGTTAAACTGTGAAATGAGTTTGTGATTGCTGAATCACGTCTTGAAATTATGACTGATGTAAAAGGCACAGACAGCAAAAGAATGCCTTTGTCATTTACAATTATTTACCAGCCGGCCAGACAAGTCTGCAAAAGTTGCTAGTGCAATAACGCATGGCTCAGGAAGGGGAAATTTCAGACATACCTCTGCATTGCTGATGCTAAGTTGTGGACTTGCTGGGGAACTCATTTCTAATTAGCTTTCAGGCAAACTAACAAGTAGCGTGAAAAAGCGTTTTCTTTTAGTGGTCCTAAGTGGTCCTCGATGTATCGGTAAAGTGATGCTAAAGGACAAATTGCCTCGTGGCACACGCACACGTTTATAACTGCAATACCTGTCATTCCAAATGATCTGTCAAGATCCAGGGCCTGGGGAATATCAGCAAAACAAATAGTTCTCTATTCGAATTGATCTGGCGGAAATAGAAAAGATCTTTTGGACCTCTCCGATTCGTCATTCAATTACGGGTGTCCGCCCACACCAGTTGACAGATTTAACAGTGTTGCTTGTTTCATGGCTACAAAGAGCTTTGTAAATTTGTTGGCTCTTTTTACAGGATCCCCCATCTTGTTGTAGGCTCAATTTCTGCCGCTTTCTCGTGTCTGGTATACGTGGATCACGTGCTTCTTTACCGAACAGCGGCTTGTAATCGAGCCTAATCTCGTTAATCGTTGCTCATAAATTTGTGTTCTCATTAGCCTGTTTAGAGGCACGGTCAGTGGGGTCGATCGAAGATTAAAGCAGGTGGGTGATGAGCAGGGACTGGTAGAGTTTACAGCCCACATGTTGAATAATTTCAGCCTACATTCCGTTCAGATGCAGAGTTGCTCAGAGACCCTCCATTTTAAGTTTTCCCCTTCACCCCAGAGGTCTCTAGAAGATACGGGTAGTCGGTTGTACCTCATTTAATATTATGTAAATTAGAGAACGAAGCGAAGAGATCACAAAAAGTCGATATCGTCTATTTTTTAGGGACACTTTTTTGGTGTTTCTCATGGCTCATTCCATCATTCCAAGGGTTTACAGTTAAAATGTTCACTGAAAACGAACAACGAACTCAACTAAACTTGAATTGTTCAGTTACCAGATCAATATCACAACAATAACTTTGCCACGAAATGTTATCGATTTGCAAATTGGGCGGAACCATCAATCGATCAGGTTTCAAAGGTGGCAAATCTGCAGACTATTTTCTCCGTGCCTGCAACCTCGCTTCCCTGCTCCATCTCATTCACTTGAAACTTAAACTTCTCGCAGGCAGTCTACCTTCTCAATGAGGAAGTTCCATGGATTTAGCTGTCAAGAGGAGCGGAGAGTCTTACTGTTTTTTGATCCCGGTTAAAAAATAATAATAACATAAGTAGACACACAAATCTCCTAAAAGCAGCCTCGTTCTTAGGGTCTTTCTTCTTCCTGCCCCTCTCTTGCTCCAGGGGGTGTGAAAAAGAGAAACCCTGGGTAGGAGATTGATCGACAAGTTGTTCAAAAACGTCTCCAGACGTTTTTTACTATCCTTCTCATTAGGCCCCTCATTAGCTAATCACCCATCGCGCTCCACTCGCTTACGTTGGTTGACCCGCTAGGAAAAGCCATGCTATCGAATATAGATCTTGTTTGAACTTTATAGGCAATATTTATATACTAGACTGAAAGGTATATCAAATTTACGTAACAGGCACAGAACATGAAATTTTGCAGTGATAGTTATGCTTTCTGGACAAGCCGGAACTAGTCACAAATCGCCAATAGGAAAATTATACTTCCGAGTACTTTTTAGAAAGAGAGGCCAGTGAAAAAGAAATAAAATAATATTAACTTTTCCAAGGAAGTTAAGAAAGCGTGACCCAACAAAATTTGGAAAAAATGTTTTAAAATTACCGTAATTTACAGTAGGGAAACTACACCCTTTAAAAAAAATAATCACAACAGTGTTTTTGGAAAATAATTTATTAATGGAAATGGAACTTGAAAAAGGAACTGTTTCACATCGGTAAATAAGAAAAAAGTAAAAATGTAAAATCATTGTATATTGGAAAAAAGATGGCATTTGAAAATATTCAATTATTTATTACTCTAATCATTCTATATTGGGAAATACAACAAATTTCGTGAAAAAAAAGGAAAAATATTTGTTGAGACAGAGAAAATGGGAAATGTTATTTATTGAAAAAGAGAGAAAATGGAAATTGAAATTGATTTTTTCTAGTTTATTTTTTACCGAAAAGAAACACGAAAAATTGTTAAGTTGAAATATAAAAAAAAATTGTGAAAATAGGGGATCATTGAAAGTTATTTTATATTGAAAAGTACAAAAAAAAATGAGAAATAGATTATACTGGTAGTCAGTGAAAAATAGGCGAAAATTATTTTATGTTAAATAATAAAACAAAATTCCAAAGTTATTTCGATTGGAAAGACGAGATGAAAGAAATGCAGAAAAATTATTATGCATCAGTAGATAAAATGAAATTTAAAAACAAAATAAGGATTAAAAATAACAGTAAAAGAAGAAATTGGGAGAAATTAATGC